ATTGTTCCATGCACAGTGTGTATTGATCCATACACAGTGTGTATTGTTCCATTCATAGTGTGTATTGTTCCATGCACAGTGTGTATTGATCCATACACAGTGTGTATTGTTCCATTCATAGTGTGTATTGTTCCATGCACAGTGTGTATTGATCCATACACAGTGTGTATTGTTCCATTCATAGTGTGTATTGTTCCATGCACAGTGTGTATTGATCCATACACAGTGTGTATTGTTCCATACATAGTGTGTATTGAACCTAAAGCACTGTTCGATACGGGTACATGTATTGTTGCAGCACTATTTCAAACATCTTGTCTTTTCAGTTTCTAAACCTTTTATTTTGAGCAAAACTTATGGCCCTAATTTAGCTCCATAAAGCTCTTAAATAAAAGGTTGAAATGATTAAATAACTGTTAAATCCTGCATGTTTTATTGATTTATATTTTAATAAATTGAATTTCTTCGTCTGAACTGATAAACGTTACACCAKAAGAAGATAATCAGCTCTACGTTGTGTCTTTTTTTAAATAAATTCTCATATTAGTTGTTGTTTTTTGGTCCTGCTGTGTTTCAGTCCTCGCGGCCCCCCACCGTGCCCCCCATGGCTCTGCAGGAGCTGGGTATCAGCCTGTCCATGACGGGCCTGGCCGGGACCATGCTGATCTGCGGGCTGCCCATGTGGAAGGTCACGGCCTTCATCGGCACCCACCTGGTGGTCATGCAGGTGTTCTGGGAGGGTCTGTGGATGACCTGCGTCAGCGAGTAYACGGGTCAGATGCAGTGTAAGCTCTACGACGCCCTGCTGGACCTGGCGCCGGACCTGCAGGCGGCCCGGGGGCTCATCTGCATCAGCCTGGTGCTGGGGTGTCTGGGCTTCCTGGTCTTCCTCCTGGGAGCGCGCTGCACCAACTGCCTGAGCCACCCTCAGATCAAGGCCCGGGTGGTGGGCAGCTCGGGGGCCGTCTTCTGCCTGGCGGCCCTCACCACCATGGTGGCCGTGGCCTGGACCGCCAACGCCATCATCTTGGATTTTTACAATCCTCGGGTCCCCGAGGTGCTGAAGAGGGAGCTGGGAGCGGCCATTTACATCGGCTTTGTGGCGTCTGGGCTGCTGTTCTGTGGGGGGGCCGTCCTGTGTCTGAGCTGCCACAGGGGCGGGGCCAGAGTCCAGGCCGGTGGGTACAGGCGGGCCAAGACGTCCTCACGCAGCAGCTACGCCATCAAGAACTATGTGTGACAGGTTTAACTGGGACTTATTGGTCCGGTCTGCGGAGAACACGGGGAGGAACTGAACTTTAGCTCTGCTCGAGTTGCAGCTAAAACCAAAAATATCAAATCTGTTTCTTCAGCTGATTGTCGGGTTAGTTTTGTTTGTTGTTCTCATTACTCTTTTGCTACTTTTAGCTTTTAGCTTCTTGGTTTATGCTAGTGTTGTCAGATTCAGCTCCTTCATTGTTTACACGTTAACTTTCACAGAAAATGTAAATTCCCCAGTTTTTTTTCTTGTTTTCTTTTACAGAACGTCTTCAATCTCATAATCTGTTTCTTTACGACACATCCTGTTCCCTCCATCTTGTCTCAAAACTTCAGCTGCAGAAGCTCATCCTGCTGCCACCAACGTTAAATCAGACTTATGACCAAATAAATCTTTGTTTCACAACATCGGATATTTTTTCTGAAAATCGCTTTATTTTGTAAAACAACTGGGGAAAAAAAGGTCAATTTATTGTTAAACTTTCTGTCTGTTCTGTTCGTCTGATCCCTTTCAAAAAACKAATTTTCATTTCTTTATTTAAAAAGACAAAACACATGAATTAATTTTGTATGAATATAAATGCGTCGGAATTAGCACAACAGCTAAATTTCATCTGTTGTCCTGAGCAGATAAAAAAACTAAAATAGTTCCTGGAGAAACTAATTCTAAGTTTAAGCTAACAGCTAATGCTAATTTAAAGAAAGGCTCTAATTCAGCTATTTTAAGACTTACAGAGCTTAAAACTGGTATAGTAGTAGCCACGAACAAGCTTTGACAAATTCCGAATGCTAAATAAAAATTCAAGATGGCCGCCAGAGCTAATTTGAAACTGAATTTTTTTTCTGTTTTTAGCAGTGTTAAGATGTAAGAATGAATCTTGAATCCAGTGGGATACTGGTTCCATCGCTGCGGATAAAACATTAGCTGCTTCCTGTGCTGTTTTAGCATGTGTATACAGTACAGTATCGTCTGCATATAAGTGAAATTTGTGAAAAATACTTTTTATAAATAGTAAAAAGCATAGGTCCTAACATAGAGCCTTGTGGGACCCCAACGGAGCAGGTAATCTCTTCTCTGTAGAGGCTGTACGCTGTTAGAAAGATATGTTTGCATCCAACATTTCTGTTCGAAATATTAAAACGAGATATTTGACAACAGCTTGTTTTAGGTATAGCTCCATCAATCCATGTTCCTTTTCTGAAAAAAATCAGAAAAACACGTTACGAAGACTTTCAGCTGCTGCCACACAAAATGTTAGCTCGATATCTGTAAAAAGTTCAGTTTTCGACATTTTTATGTGTTTGCTAGCTGTGGCAGCCATTTTTATTCAGGTTTACTTCAAAAGTTAACAGTCGTACTTTGTTATTCAAGAGATATTTTGCTAACAGAGACGGGGTTGACTCCAGTAGAGCTCACTGACTTTCAGCTAAAGTTTAGCTCCGTATCTGTAAATGTGAATAATTTAGAGCTGTTTTTGTGTGAATGTGGATTAGTCGTGGCGGCCATCTTTAATTCGATTGACTCTAAAAGTAGTTCATGTGTGTCCTGACGGTCCAGAATCCACTGGTTGAGGAGATATTTTGCTAACAGAACCGAAGCGGACTGAGTGTAATTTGATCCCCAGATGAATCATCGGCGCCCGTGAAGCAGAGAATACCAGAACCCGTCAGAACTTGTGGCTGAAAACTCACAGTTTGGAGTTTTTCTTTTGTCTCGCCCGACTTTGAAGCGTGTTTTCAGTCAGAACCGAGGCCCGGAAGCCGAGCGGGTCAGAACACACAGGGAGCTTTGTTCTCCACACGGGAGCAGAACCGGAGAGAGGAGGATTTGTTGTGAAAGCCCGGCAGAGCAAACAGGATCTCCCTCCTGCTCTCCGCCCAGCTGCAGCCGAGCCGGGCCGTTTTGTTTTTTAAAGGAATACCACAGAACCGGTTCCCCCTGTGAACACGACCCGGTCCGCTGCTCGCAGCTGCTTCTGGTTTGGGTGGCGAGGAAGAGGAGGAGGAGGGGAACCGGGCCGGTCCGAGTCATGAACAGGCAGCTGGAGTTCGCCGCCTTGGGTCTGGCCCTGGCAGGGTGGCTGGCTGCGGTTCTGACCCGCTGCGTGGCCCTGTGGAAGGTCAGCGGCACCGTGGACAACGTCACGGCCACCCTGCCGGCCTACTGGGACGGGGTGTGGCTGGACTGGGACCACTGGGATCTGGCCCACGACGGCAGCCTGCACTGCTCCTTCTACCGGTCCCTCATGTCTCTGTCCGGGAGCTTCCGCACGTGGAGGGCCCTGATCGAGGCCACCATCGGCGCCGGGGGCTTTGCGACTCTGGTGGGCGGAGCCGGGCTGGTCTGGTTCCCGGGTCGGGGCCAGGTCAAAGTCTTTTCTGGGGCTGTCTTCATCGTGGCAGGAGTCCTGATCCTGGTTCCCACGGCCTGGACCTGCCATCACACCAGTCAGCCTCTGGAGGGCGTGGTCCCCCTCAGGAGGGACTGGGGTCCGGCCCTGTACCTGGGCTGGATCTCTTTCTCCCTCATGCTGCTCGGAGGGGGGTTCCTCACCACCAGGTGGTCCTCGGACGGGGGGCGGGCCGAGCAGCCTGGAGCCGGCAGGACCCAGGACCAAGAGGCCAGTCACCCGCTGAGCACGATCCACAGAACCGCCTTCACTCACAGCCAGTACGGACGCAGATCAGAACCCATCTGAGGACCCGGGAGGTCCGGGTCCCTGGGGGACAGGAGGCCGGATCAACAGGTCTACAGGGGGACAGGGTTGACTGGACCTGGTTCTGCTGGGTTTATTTTTTAACAAACTGGTTATTGTTTACATGATGGGTCCGGTTGGTGTGATGGTTCTGGTTCTGGTTCTGGTTCTGACGGGTTCAGGTTCTGTTTCAAACCTGATTATTTATTTGTGTTAAAAAACTGTGGAAAAACTTTGATTTGTTTACATCTGAAACTTTTAGCTCACGTTTAGTTCAATTTTAGCTTTTTCTTTATTTCAGCTGTTTTCAGTCGAGCTGAAAACAGCTGAAATTTGTTACAGAAGCTGAAATAAAACAATCACAAGTTAAAACGAGCAAAATGGGAAACAAAAGAAAGCACCAGCAAAGCACTAAATAAATGCTAAAACTAGCCAAACAGTAGCTAAAAGCTAAAATAATAGCTAAAGACCAAAATTAGCAACAAAATAGCTAAAACTAGTAGTTAAAAGCCTAAATGAGCATAACAGCTAAAGCTAACAAAACATTTGCTAAAAGCCAAAGGAAGCAACACCAATAGCTAAAGCCAATAGCTAAAGCTAGGAAAACATTAGCTAAAAGCCAAAGTTAACACAACATTAGCTAAAAGCCAAAGCTATAATAGCCAAAAGGTAAAATGTGTAAAACAGTTGCTAAAGGCCAAAATAATCATTAAAAAAGAAACCAGATAAAAGATAAAAATAGCATATGGATAGCTATTAGCTTTAGCTGTAAAAAGATTAAATATAAAATACAAAGTATGTAAAAAAAATGCTAAAGTTAAATATTAGATAATAGCTAAAGGTAGAAAAATATTAGCTAAAAGCCAAAATAAAACAGGAACTACAAGCTAAAACTAACAAAATAAAACCAGATTATCTAAAAGCTAAAACTAGCAAAGAATAAAAAACATAAAAGGTAAAACAGTTGCTAAAAGCTAAAGCTAACAAAACACTTACAGCTAAAATCTGCAAAGCAGTAGCTAAAAGCTAATGTGTAAAACACTGAACAGAATCAGATTTTTAAAAATGAAAAGTTTTAAATATTGGTTGTTGTTTTCGAAGAGGAAAACATTTATAAAGATATAAACTTTAACTCAAAGTTAAACTAAAGTCCTGAACTGAATCATTATTTCATCGTTCAAAACAGCTGCAGTGAAATTTGATTGTTTGCTGCTCTGAAAACTTCTGCAGCAC